TCACACGTGAGCTGGGACACGGGATGGCTGCAGGGTGGCAGTCTGGGGAGGCAACACCTTTAAAGGGCTTTTGCGGGCACGGCCAGATGCCTCGTGTGTTATGAAACCTGAGAATGAGAACACTGTATGGGCAGCACAACCAACGATGTGGGCCGACAACCCACGGCTGCAAGGATCCACAGAGGAAAAGGCAACAGGAAAAGAGGGCAGACTGGGAGGGAAGCCTGCACAGGTGTGTCCCAGGTCCACAGTGCGATGTGGGCCCTACCTGCCACCACAAAGCCACGCTGACCTCTGATGTTCCTGGCTCTGGAAGGCTGCTAGCCCTTGCAGGCTGAGGACTCTCTTGCTCCTCAGCGCTCAAGTCATACCTGACCTGGCCCTTGCACTTGGGGCTTTCTGGGTGACCAAACATGCCCACCGCCCTCAGGCTCCTCCCAGACAGGATGGACAGAGGAGAAGACAGGAGAGAACAGAAAAGGCAGGAGGCAGGTGTTGAGAAGGTTGCAGAAGAGGCAAAGAGGGACGAGCAGGAGCGGGGCGGTGCTGGCACAAGAAGAGAGTTAGGAGTAAATGTATACAGGGTAGGGCAAAGCAGGTGTGGAAGGGGTGGGGGAAGGGGCATGCACAGGTCACAGCGATGACGTGCAGGGCAGGTGAGGGGTGAACTGGTGGCATGAGGCAGGTACGTGTGGCAAGTGTGGGGGGCAGGTGCGGGGCAGGTGCAGGGCAGATGGGGATGGGCAGGTGCGTGGCAGGTGCAGTGCAGGTGACGGGGGAACCGGTGGTGCAGGGCAGGGGGTGTGTGGCCAGTGTGTGGGGTAGGTAGGGACTGGGAGGTGCGGGACAGGTATGGGGCAGGTGCAGTGCAGTTGAGGGGCGAACCGGTAGCCCAGGGCAGGGGTGTGTGGCAAGTGTGCGGGGCAGGTGGGGGCCGGCAGGTGCAGTGCAGGTGAGGGGCGAATCGGTGACGCAGACAGTGTGTGTGGCAAGAGTGCGGGACAGGTGGAGCCGGGCAGGTGCGCGGCAGGTGCAAGGCAGATGCAAGGCAGGTGGGAGGCGAACTGGTGGCGCGGGCAGTGCCAAAGGCAAGTGTGCAGGGCAGGTGGAGCCAGGCAGGTGCAGAGCAGGTTGCGGGCGAAACGGTGGCGCGGACAGTGCGTGTGGCAGAGGCAGGTGGGGCGGGGCCGGTGCGAGGAGAGGCGCGAGGCCGGTGGGCGCACTTGCCTGCGAAGGCGGCGGCGGCGGCGGCCTCTTCAGGGCTGGGCAGGGCGTCGGCTCCCATGTCCATGTG